GGAAATGTTTCTTCTCTGAAGTTCGCAGCCATGAACAGCCTCTCCAAGCATTTTCGCTGTCTTCTTTCTGACCTTCACTATAAGTTTGGCAACTCTTCCTCACATCTTGTGGTTTGGGGTTACAGATGTCTTCTAGTTTCTGTGGGGATAGAATCTACATTTTTGGGTGTGCTGCTTATTGCTTTTGGGTGAAATCCAAGAGGAAGCCTTTAAGTCAGGATTTCAGGACAGGAGATCTAAAACAAAAAACTCTAGTTTTTTATCTTTTCTATGCTAGCTAAACATTGTTACTTTTTAAAAATTTTGGTCACTTTTTAAAATTAATTTTTCAAATAGTGCTTAAGAATAACATAGTTTTGCAAACAACTTTTTATTTTAAAATCGGGAGTGATCACATTAGTTACAATGGATCACCAGGAAAGAAATGCTAGTCTCCTTTATTTTGATTATTCCTCAAGGAATCAGAGGTCAGAGGAAGTTAGTGGAGGTGAGTTTAGAATAGAGTGTGGGTTAGTATTTATACACAGGAGGCCTTTGGGTTTGTTAGATTTATTTACCTAGAAAACGGCATTGTATTCCTAGGCCTGCCAGTTCTGGTACCAAGTACCAATTGTGATGCCCCATTTATGATGTGCCAGCGTTCCTGAGATGTTCCCTGGGCATTCTTAGGATGCTGGTCTCAAAACTCTTGGCTGGATTTATGTTTGAATTAAACAGACTTTTCCCTGTACAGCAGCAGTCTGCATGCAAGTATGATAACAAAAAGAGAGTGTGGCATATTTTGTTCAAACCAATATCCAGAAGTAGAAATAGCAGAGGCATGAGGTCATTGGAGGACTAAAGAAATAGGGTTTGAAGGTTCCAAATATCTGCTAATCACTAACTCAGATTTTTAAATGCCAGGGTGCTAAAACTTAGAATGTATATTTATTTGAGGATCTTGGGCAAGAGGAAAAGAAAAGGGTTCAGTCCAGAGGATGAAGGGCCTTGGCTTTCTTAGGGTGGGACAAGGAGAAAAATGCATTTGTGGGAGGGTTCCTAGCCCCTTTGAGCTGGGTTGTCATGGGTTGCTATTTTTCAAATAGTGCTAAAGAATAACATAGTTTTGCAAACAACCTTTTACCTTAAAATTGGGAGTGATCACATTAGTCATAATGGATCACCAGGAAAGAAATGCTGGTCTCCTTTATTTTGACTATTCCTCTAGGAATCAGAAGTCAGAGGAAGTTAGTGGAGGTGAGTTCAGAATAGAGTGTGGATTAATATTTATACACAGGAGGCTTTTGGGTTTGTTAGATTTATTTACCTTCCTTCCTTCCTGCCATCAGCTCCCTGGCTGGGCATCGGAGCCACAGCTGGGCCCATGCCTCCTTGAATTGAATGGCGGTGAACAGGGACTGTTCATTCTGGGTGTAGGGAAGAAAAGGGCGGCATGAGAGGCACTCAAATAGGGAAAATGCAGAGGGGCTGGGAGTGGAGAAGCCAAGCTTGACTGATAGCATAGTTTTCTCTGGGGTTGCATTTAGTTTTAACCGTGGGACAATGAACAGAAAACATAGAATATGGAAGTAATTTAGCCTGGCTTGTGGAGATAATTTTGAGCACAGCTGACTTCATAATGAGTATATCACCACCCACATACGATTCACTGAGCCAGTATCGAGGATCTGTTTTCCACTTTGGTGTAAGGCCCGTGGGGACATCGTGGATGACCAAGGTCTGGTCTCACCTCTCAAGACTAATGGGTGTATGAACCAAAGCAGAGGTCACACAGCCGAACAGGTTACAAATAGATGCTTCACAAAAGTTTATTTGGGGCAGAAATGAGAAAGGCACTTATGTAAAAGAAGTGTGAAATCAGGGATTCAAAAAAAGGAGTGGTTTCAGAAAGGCTGGTCCGTAACTAGCATCTCCTTGTCACAGAACTCAATCTCAAAGAATTATTGAGGAATGAATAATAATCTTCAAAAGGCTTTTGGGGGAAGTTGGTGGAGAAGGTGTGTGGAAAGTAGTAAAACATGTTTCCTAGACAATCAGTATGTTCCTTACCTGATTTAAGGGCACACCCTTTTAGACCCCCTGGTGATTTGAGTCACTGGCTCAGGTCACTGATGGGACCCCATAGTTTCTGATCTGTTGACCTCAGGGCCAGCCCTCGTGGTTTGAGGTTTCAGTGAGAGGGAAGTGAGGAATTTACTGGGAAACTTCTGGGGACCTGACTCTTCAGGAGAAGGATGAGAATGAGTGGGGCACAAAAGCCCTACAAAATGGTCACAAACAGGATGGTTTTTCCTGAAGAGAAGAGCTGTCGGGTGACTTGTTTTCAAATGTGAGACATGTGCTCAGCTCAGGTGGCTCCTGGAGCCTGGAGCAGCACATGTACTCTGCCCCAGGCCTTTGTCCTCAAGTGCCCCTGGGGGTCTCTTCCCATTCCTCTTTCCTGTTCCTCTTTCCCTGTTGACTCTCAGGACTGGTCGTGGTGGTGCTTTCTGCTTTTGTGGTTCCACATGCACCCCCTTTTATTCATTCACACGGCTCTCACTACAGCAAGATGGACTCTGAACCTCTGTCCCAGATCTGGCACCACCTCCCTGATAGCCTGGGGCTGTCCTTTGGTAACCCTCACAAACTCACGCCTCCCCCTACTTTCTCCCTTCTGCTCCGATTTAAACTTTCTGATCGTGGTTAGACTTTCATCTTCGCCTCTCAGTAGCTAACCATTTATAACATCGGGTGATAAGAAAATCTACTTTTTTTCCCCACAGAAGTAGATCTCATAGTGTCACCTTTTGATTTCTGTGGCTGCTGCAGGTTGTCATCTCAAGCGTGCATTGTTGCAGTCGCTTTGTCATGGGCGCCCCAGTCCCCACCCTCCTTTCCCCACCATCTCTCTTTCCATATTGTATACCATCTTCAGGTTCATTTTTCTGAAATTCTTCTTTGTTATGTTGTTATTCTTACCCCAGTGGCTCCCTGCTGCTACAGGGTAAAGACCTTATTTCTCAGCTTGGCATTTAAAGTTCTCTATAGTCTGATTTCAGACTGTTTCCAAAATATGTCTCTGACTCTTTGGCACTGAGTCTCACTCTCCTTCCTAATGCTGTCCTGTTTCTGCCTCATGACTTTGTTGATGCTGTTCTTCTTCCTGGAATGCTTTTTCCTGGGTATCTCCTGTCTCTTTCCAAGGATTATCCAACGCTTAAGACCAAGTTGGGTCCAGTTTCCATCTTCTCCATGATGGAAGCCCTCTCCCCCTCTTAATCACTTGTCTCCTGTGGATGTCTCATCCTTTGTCTTCTAATGACACTTAACATGCAGCTATATGTAAATGGACTGGCGAGTGATCCAGTCACTCACTAAGCAGTCAATATTGACCTCCACTCTATGCAGGTGTTGTGCCCCTGTGGTTGTTGATGCAAAGAATCTCCAAGATTGGATTCCTGCTTTAGGGCCATCGTAGTGCCAAGGGACTTGATGCACGTGGGCTCAGCAACCATGGTATGGCTTTGACAGTCATGAGTGCAGAGAGGACAGCAGCACATGCACTCTGCCCAGGTGTCACAGATGTGACATTTGAACAGGATTTTAAAGCATTGGTAGAAGTTTCCAGGTAGAGAAAGAGGCCAAAGCCTTGAGCCACAGAGGGCCATGTGTGTGGAGTCCTGGAGCCCAACAGAGACAGGAGGAAGGGAAGGAGACGTGCAGGTGCCATGAGAGAAGAGTGGATGATCTGGGAAGGAAGGAAGAATGTCGAGTTTTTAAGAAAATAGCTTTGTTAACACTAGAAAGCAGTAAGTAGACTGGCTTCTTGGGAAAGGGGGAAATAGTTGGAGGGGTGGGTGGCGGGAAAGAACCGAAGGAGGAGGTTATGGTAATAGAAACAAGCAGTAGAAATTGAGAGAAAAGACCCTACTGTATGTTGTGTATGTCTTATTTTCGTAACCAGATTATAAGCTTGAGCACCACAGTGTGTGTTTTACCTGTTTATCTTTCTAATACCCACATCCCTTAGTATGTGACTGTGTCCGAAGAGGTAATTAATGGATGCTAACGATATGGCCTAGCTACTGTTTGTCATCTTCCCACCAGACCAACGTGTAAAAAGTAGTGCCTAGCCCATTGTAGATGCTGAATAATTAAGAGTGACTGTAAAAAAATGAGAAAAAATAAAGTATGCAGCAATATGCATAATATGCAAAAATAATAAAATATGCAAAAATAGTCACATGCCTTCCATGCTTAAAGATGACTTTGTAAGTGACTGAGCTGAAGCCTCCCTGTGTGCGGGAGAGGGAGCCCTTGCTTACCCTGGGAGGGTACAGAGAAGTTCCTGCAACAAAGGGGAGAAGATGACAAATTGCTTGGGTTTCGAATGAGGCTTAGGTCACGCTGGTGCTGTGGGAAAGATGCAAAGAATTGCACCAAGCAAAGGTCAGAAAAAGTTTACTTAGAAGGTAGATCAGAGAAAAAGGGGGGATCAACCTCTCCAAGACTAGAGAGAGAGCGCGACGCTTAAGGGACTTTTGGCGGCAAATGCTTGAGGTTGAAAACCCCCTTTTAGTGGGAGCAGGTTGCCATGGTGATGGGGTGGTGGTGGTCTGTGTCATGTCACCAGGAAAGGAGCAGGTAAGCATAGGAGCTGTCGCCATGGTAGTGGGGTGGTGATCTGTGCCATGTTGATCGTGAAGGGCTGCTCATAATAGATTAGGTCAGCTTGGCTCTTTATGGCAGGAAGACAGATACTTTGGATAAGAGGGCAGTTAGTACAAGGCCTGCTTGGGAGTTGTAAGACAATTATCAGTAACTACCTCCAGGAAACCGGTTTTGTTTCTTGTTTAATGATTATAAAGGTGGGCTGAAGTACGCTGCTGAAAAAGCATGATAAAGCTAAGCAGTGTTAAAATGGCTGCCATTCTCACTTAAGTTACTCCATTTTGAATTTTCACCTTTTCAAGGCTTCTCTTCTGATGTGCTTTTCTCTCTCTCACTGTCTCCTGCAGATATCCTATAGGCTACTTTCATCATGGGAGAAATAGAACAGAGGCCAACCCCAGGATCACGACTGGGGGCCCCGGAGAATTCGGGGATCAGTACCTTGGAACGTGGACAGAAGCCACCCCCAACACCTTCAGGAAAGCTCATGTCCATCAAAATCCAGATGCTGGATGACACCCAGGAGGCTTTTGAAGTTCCAGTAAGTTGGGGGTGTATCTGTGGACCCAAGTGTGTGGGTGGCCTTGGGCCCGGGGGTGGGTCGCCTCATTCCCATGTTCAGTGACACCAGGTGACTGCGGGCCTGTGTGTTTAGCACCTCCCTCCCCGGCAGCCCCATTGTCCCTTTCTGGTTCTGAACTCTCAGGTTTTTACATTTATGCATGGTCCATCTATAGGATGATATCAGTGGGCTGGCCACTCAAATTTTGCTGTGACCTCCCATACACAAATGTATATATCATGTATGTGCACTTGTTATATCTATACACAAGTGTATAAGTTTAGTGTGAGGGACGCATGGTCTTGTGGATGAATCCCGATTTAATTTGCTTATCACAGGCAGTTTCTTGCTCACATTGGGATGTGTGTGTGTGTGCGTCCTACTTAACCTGTTGTGGGCTGCAACCAGACGGTGGCTTTGGGGGCAGTGAAAGAATTCACCAAGTCAGATTAGAGTAGAAAAACAGGTTTACTGAGTGGGCCACAAGGGGACAGTGGGCAGGACAGCCCTATCTGTAAGGGAGCTGTCTACACTGTGCCAATTCCTTGAGATGTGTTCACAGCCGAGCTGACCTCCTTTTAGTGAGAGTTAGGATTCCCAGCATGCATTAGCGTTCCCACCATGCAGATGAGGCAATTCTGATTGGCTAATGTTCAACTTTGCTTCATCAGTTGAAGGTTAGCACAAGGTGACTCACACGTGACTCATGTCCAGACGACAGGCAGGAGAAATCCCGACAAAGCCAGCAAGGAACTGCATGTGTGTTTTCTGTCAGGAAGTCAGGAGAGACAACCTCCGTGGCCTCAGTATGTGAGATGTGAGAGTGTAGAAAAGCCCCAGTCCACATGCCCTGTGTGAAAGCCCCGGAGATGAAGAGGCCCACCGCCACCGCAGGGCCAGGGCAGGAACAGCCTGTGGTCAGGAGCAGGGCAGGGGAGGAGCCTGGGCTGCTCTCAAGGGTCACAGCCCCTCACCCTTTCACTCTGGTGCTTCTACTGTTTTCTCCTCCCCTGTCCTCCTCCTCCTCCCCCTCAATCAGCCCCTGCTGGAGGGTGGGGAGCCTCCACCTGTTTTGAGCATGTCGTGTTCCCTGGGCAGGAAGGGAAGGTGCGCGGGGCTGGTTGGAGCTGTGAGTGTACTTCCCCATGTGTCAGCTCGGTCTGGAGAACTCTCAGCATACCTCGGATCAAGTATTTGTGTTTTCTGTCTTGGGTACCAAATTCTCCATCTAACATTATTTATGAATGGAGAAAATAACTCTCACCAGGTGCAGTGGCTCACGCCTGTAATCCCAACATTTTAGGAGGTGAAGGCAAGAGGATTGCCTGAGCCCAGGGATTCGAGACCAGCCTGGGCAACTTGGTGAGACCTGGTCTCTACAATAAATCAAAAAATTAGCTGGGCATGGTGGCACTCGCCTGTGGTTCCAGCTGCTTGGAAGGCTGAGGTGGAAGGATCACCTGAGCCCAGCAGAAGGAGGCTGCAGTGACCATGAGAGTGCCGCTGCACTCCAGCCTGGGTGACAGTAGGACTCCGACTTGAAAAGAAAAGAAAAGAACTCAATTCCAAGCAGCCGACACCTTGCGAACATGCCTGTTTTTAACGTGGAGACAAACTTTGTCTATTATTCCCCATGGCTGGAGAGACTGGCACTTAATAGTCAGTGTGAACGTTTGATAACCATTCATTTAATCATTTATGGGGTGTGATTCAGTCAGTTATATTTATTTTGAAGAACATTGTTAAGAGAGTGTGAATTAGCATTAAATATCTCAGGGAAAGATAACCCAGAATAGCTATGTTTACAACCGCCATTTTATTGCACACTCACTGGGTCTAATCTTCTTGTCATATCCAAGAAGGACTTGGGAACGTCTTTAAGTTCTGGGGAACAAAGCCCTTGCTCATCTAATGAAATTGCAGGATATGTGGAAGGGGACACTGCCATCCTGTTAGAATGAGACCTTCTGGGACATGACACCCATACCTGGCCCCCTCACCTCCCAGGTTTTCTTTTTTTTTTTGTCTTTGTGGCCAGACTGGTTGAGTGAGGTGTTTAGTGTCAGCATTTCCTGCTTGGGTACTGTTAAGGACTCCTGAGCAATGCGTTCTGTTAGATGGTGTTCCTGTGAGCAGTGTGGACCGAGGACCTGGATGCTGCTGTTGTGTGCACGGACTGTGGGGGTCATGAAACCAAAGCATGTCAACTCCATTCCTAGTTATGATTTAGTTGGGAACTCTACAGGAACTCCCTGCCTAATACGCAGTAATAAAAGTGTGAGTGTTTTTATCTTTTAAAATTATTTTTCTTTGTGACTTCTTTTTTCTGAGTTGGGGTCTCACTCTATCACCCAGGCTGGAGTGCAGTGGCATGATCACTGCAGCCTCAACCTCTTGGACTCAGGCTATCCTCCTACCTCAGCCTCCCAAGTAGCTGGGACTCCAGGCAGATACCACCATAACTCATTTTTTGACTGTTTTTTTGGTAGAGATGAGGTCTTACCGTGTTGCCTAGGTTGCTCTTAAACTCCTGGGCTCAAGTGATCCTCCAACCTCGGCCTCCCAAAGTGCTGCAATTACAGGCATGAGCCACTGCATCCAGCTCTCTTTGTGGTTTTGAATGGCTGTGCTCGGCGTCTGTAACCCTTTTGTCTGGAAGGAACCTTTCTCATGCCCCTGATGAATTCCTATGCATCCTTAAAGGCTCTACCAGTTTTACCTGGATGCCTACTCCCTCAGTCAGTGGCTGCGGCTTTTTCTTCCCCTTTGCAGACCTCTTTGCTCATACTATCAGCGTAGAGCTGAAGTGTCTGGGTTCAAATCCCAGCTTTTCCTACTGACAGTTGCTCAGCTTGGACAAGTTATTTCAACTCTCTGTTTCTGTTTTCTTCTCTGTAAAATGAGGCTAATAATAAACCCTATTTTATACTATATGAGAATTTTTAAAAAGTTGACACAAATAAAGTGTTCAGAACAATTCTTGACACATACTAAGAGTTTAAAACACATGAAAAGTAGTATTGATATGTATTTGCTACTACACTGCCAGCTTCTTGGTGCAAGGACCTGCCTGTTATTTCATGCTCTCTCTCATTTCTTCCTTTCTTCTTTTTAATTTAATTAATTAGTTTGTTTTTATTTTTTTAAGCTGGAGTCTTACTCCATTGCCCAGGATGGAGTGCAGTGGCATGCTCACAGCCACCCCAGTGTCGACCTGCTAGGCTCTGGCGAACCTTCCACTTCAGCCTTCCAAGTAGCTGGAACTAGGTGCGCACTACCATGCCCGGCTAATTTTTTAAAAATTTACTGTAGAGACGAGGTCTCACCATGTTGCCCAGGTTGGTCTTGATCTTGCAGGCTCAGGCAGTCCTCTCACCTTGGTCTCCCAAAGTACTGGGATTATAGGCTTGAGCCAATGCGCCTGGCCATTTTTTTTAATTTTAAAGATGTAGGGTATAATTCAAGATTAGGTACATAGGTGATCATTGTGCAGGTGAAGTTTGGGCCTCCCATTGGTCTTCACTTCGCCTGGTTTGGCATCAGGTACCTTATTAGTTATTTGTGCTCCCCTCTCCCTCCTTCCCTTGGCAGTGACCTGCTACTGCTAATCTCTTTCTTGTAGTATTATGATAACAGTTCAGGGTTCTCTTATGTGAGAACATGTGGTACTCAGTTCTTTGTTTCTGTGATAGATCACTGAGTATCATAGACCCTAAATACATCGAAGTTACTGCGAAGTCCATAATTTTGTTCTTTATGGCTGCATAATATTCCATCATGTATATTTAATCACATTTTTAAAATCCAGTCCACTTTCAATGGGCAGCACAGTTGGTTCCATGTTTTTGCTATTGTGAATGGCGCTGGAATAAGCATGCATGTGCAGGTATCTTTTTTGTAGAATGATTTGAGTTCTTCCGGGTATATTCCTGGATTGCAAGGTCATATGGAAGGTTGATTTTTAGATGTTTTAGAAGTCACCACACTGTTTTCCACAGAGGTTATACTAGTTTACACTCCCAACAATAGTGTAGAAGCATTCCCTTTTTTCTGCATCCTCTCCAGTGTTGGTTTTTATTTTTTATTTTTTTGAGTTGGAGTCTCTCTCCGTTGCCCAGGCTGGAGTGCAGTGGCATACTCACGGCCACCCCAGTGTCAACCTGCTGCACTCCAGCAATCCTTGCGCCTCAGCCTTCCAAGTAGCCGGTACTACAGGCACGTGCTACCACACCTAGCTAATTTTTGATTTTTTTAATTGTAGAGATGAGGTCTCACCAAGTTACCCGGGCTGGTCTGGAACCCACGGGCTCAGGAAGTCCATTCGCCTCAGTCTCCCTCAGCTGGGGTTACAGGCTGAGCAACCAAACCTTGCCGTCTGTTGTTTTTTGAGTTATTTAATGATGGCCATCCTGACTGGAGTTAGGTGGTATCTCAGTGTGATTTCGATTTGTATTTCTGATTAGTGAGGCCGAGCATTTTTTCATGTATCTGTTGACTGCTCATATGTCTCCTTTTGAGACGTTCCTATTCCCATCCTTTGCCTACATTTTAATAAGGCTGTTTGTTTTTTTCCTTTTGGCACATTTGAGTTCCCTGTAGATCCTGAATGTTAGGCCTTTGTCAGATATACACTTAGCAAATATTTTTTCCTAGTCTGTGGGCTGTCTCCCTGCTCTCTTGATGGTTTCTTTAGCTTTGCAGAAGCTTTCAGTTTGATGAGGTCCCAACTTATCTATCTTATTTCTTATGGCATGGGTGTTTGGGGTTTTGATCAGGAATTGGTTGCCTATTCCAATGTCTGTAAGGGTGTCTCCTGTGTTTTCTAAGATTCTTATAGTTTGAGGTTTTATGTTTAGGTCCTTGATCCATTTAGAGTTGATTTTTGTGTATGGTGATAGGTAGGGGTCCTGTTTCAGTCTTCTGCATGTGGTCAGCTAGTTTTCCCAGCATCATTTACTGAAGAGCTTCTCCTCTCGCCA